ACATAGACGTCCTGTCTCACATAGACGTCCTGTCTCACATAGACGTCCTGTCTGAAATAAACTTATATAGACTCAGGGATTTAGGATTAAAATGAGTTAATAATTTCTAAAATTCAGATCAATAACCAAAATGAATTACAAAATGTGTGATATGCATAGGATCTATTTTTGACATTACTTGTATGGAGTTTTGATACCTGCGGGAGGAGGGGCGGCGGTAACAAATGTATCGTATATCTTAGTGCAACCGATGAAGTAATAGAAGGAACGAAGAAATAAAAAACATTTATTCAGCACCATATTTACATAAAATATAACAAAGACAATAAAATACAGTGTGACATTGAAAGTAATAATAATTATACGTTTTTGTTTCCCAGTGCGCCACGGAGTGTCCCCCAGTGGATCCAGTCCCGGAGCCCGACACTGGCGCCGAGCGAGGGAGCTTCGGCCTCGCTCGGCTCTCTGCTATATTCTCCTCGAGATACAGACAGGTAAGGACACGTACTCTAAGCCAAGCATACCCTAGGGGACGAATATCTTGCGACATGTGTCGCCAGCGACGTCGGGTGAAGTAGCGCGACGTTGCCGGACGCTGGTCGACATGTCTGGCAACATCGTCGCTGTGGACACAAATCTTGAACATTTGTCGCCTAATGTATCCTTGGCTTTATGATAATACTAGCTTCTGCCAGCGACTTCGCCCCGGTACTCGTGGGTTATAAAGTAGCTGTCTGTTACAAATCTTAGACGATGTTTTTTCTTTTTTTTATGGCATAAGTCGGTATAAGAACGTACGGATCACCTGATGGTAAGCAATCGTCGCCTATGGACACCTGGAACATCAGAGGCGTTACAAGTGCGTTACCGGCATTTTGGAGAACAAGTGCTTGAGGATCGTTGCGGATTCAGGGATTGGGGAAGGGGAGGGGGGTAATTGGGGCTCCGGTAACCTCAGTCTCACAACGAAACACAACGCTGTGGTTGTTTCACCGTGATGTTCTGCTCGGTGGGATCACTCCGGTCGAGCCGGCCCAACAGTGCCGAGGCATTGCTCTCACACACATTTTTTGTTGATTTTTTGGTTATTTTAAAATGAACATTGTTTATTTTCTCCAACAGGTACCAACACAAAGCGACGTGGAACTAACAAACGTGCGCTCGACATCTCTAAACAACTCCCCAACCAGGAACCGAACCCTAGACAACTACCGCAGCCCAACATTCTGCGACTTAAACGCGTCAGAGTTCTACTTCACGAACCCCGAAACTGGAGATTTCGCAAGAGATTTGAACTACATGGCGAGACCAGTGGACTATATGAGGCGAAACTCAAATACCACCTTAGAACGGGTAATTGACCAACTCGACCGGCAGCGACTGACTCTACAACTAGGTAGGTTCCAACTGACCATTCCCAGGTTCGGACGCCGGGCTGAGACTGACAGGCGACCAGACACGCCCAACGTAGCTGAAATTAACATAGATGACCTCGACTTTGTTCGGATGACGTCTCACGATACTTACACACTCAATGGACGGACTATACGACTTTTGGGGGCGAATTTTGAAAATTATCCCGTTTTACCTGATGGGACGAGACCTCCGCCCTACAATGAGGCAATGAGGTGCAAGTTTTTCGGACCTCCTCCGGAATATTTGAGCCGCGAAGGCCTAAATGCTAGGGTCGATGAGGAAGCAAGGACAAACGTTGAAATGCCGCCATGCTACGACGATTTAGGTGATGGAGCTAGTTCTAGCAACAACAACGGGGATTCGAACCTCAACACGGTGAGAGATAGAGCGTTAGCAGCGCCCTCAACAACGGAAAATAACGATAACGTCAACAATAACGCGAGTACGTCGCAGGCAACTGTTGACAACGTTGACGCGAACATGAATGTTGCCAGTATAAGTTCCGTAATAAATAACTTGCCCGCGATAGATAGTGACGTCAACGCCAACGATACAACGGTTAACTGTTAATAACGGATAACCGTTTTTGTAAAAACGTTGCACTTTTTTTGGTAGCTAATATTATGTTGACGGCGCGTTAAAGTATACTTGACATTTTAACTCAATCTCGCCTTCGGTTTTTTTTACTCATCCGTACCTAAGAGGTACTTAGTGCGAGGAAGCTAAACTAACCCGTTACTTGTACTGTTAGATGTCACTTAAATGTCATTAACTGTCACCTATCTCAACTTAGGGGGTTCCTTATACCTGGTATAATATCGTAGCCCGCGCCACCTACCTCTTAAATTTTAAGCAAGTATGAAGCTAAAATAGATGACAGTTAACGACATTTTAAGTTACACCGATCTATAAGTGGCAGCTCACAGTACAAGGGGTTACTTTACCTCCGTAACTCTAAGTAACTCTTAATCAAGGGATAGAGCTGGTCGAAATGGCTATTAGTATTTCAAAGAAAAGTATACTTTAATATGATATAGTCAAAAAAGTTTTAATCAGTTCAAATAATGTATAATTTAACCAAAATTAGTTAATGTTTAACCCTTGCCGTATAATACCAGTTGAAACTATGCCAGTTACGTTTTCAATTTGAGCAGCTAATTTACAAATCATGCTTTAAAATACTAGTGCAAGTTAAGCAGCTGTAGGTTAGGCCGCGAAATGGATGGGTGGCATATTATAGAGTGTATAGTTCTAATTATACCACCGTATTTATAGATATTAGTGCCTTAGATTGTCTATTAGTTTTCTAATAAGGTGATAGAAGTAGGTAATATTTTTTTAAATATTTGTATTTTTCGTTCGGTTTCCGGGAGGACAAAGATTAATTTTGATGTTGTTTGATATACATTTGATTCTAGAACAATGCCCGACTTTTGGTTTTAAGGGCCACCTCCTACTATACTATAGTAATAACAAGAATGGCATAAAAATAATATACTTAACGCTGTATTCACCAAAACCCCTTAAACCATCTCTTATCTAAGAGTTATAGCGTATCATAAGACCTATACTAAGTCCTTACTTGTACTGTTAGGTGGCCCTTACAGGTTGGTGAAATTCTCATCTTAAAGATTTATATTAAGGTTGATCAAATTGGTAATTACTCCTACTTAGCAGATATGTTTGGGTCAAATTTAGTAATTGTAATGTCTCCCTCTTCCCGACGACAGATCGATCTGATATTTGGTCCACACTCTTAATCTTGATGAGCATACAATATAATCTAATTGTTGCCACAACTACCTCCATTATAGATATCAAACGAAAGGGAGAGCATAAAAATATAATAATATGTATATTTCTTTATATTACATGTATTTTTCAAAAATATTGTCTACTTCTCTATCATCTTATTTATAACTAAATATACGATACACAATATAAAATAATAGTTTTTAAAATGATAAAAACAACTGTGTATAGTGCACCATACAAGTTGTGACGTTAATATTGATGGAATACATACAAACTGTCGTCGAAACTTTTTACAGTGACTGTACTTTGACAGTGATATGATTTGACAGTTTATGTCAAATGTCAGTATGGTTTGATAGTTGACAGGTTCTGTTAAATGAAATTGTCATACTATTTTGTTTTTTAGCTATTGACAGCAACGCCTACGCCAATTTTTGTTTGTAATTTATTGTCATTTTTGCTTTCTTAGTTGAGGTCGATTCTCGGTTCAGGCAAAGTAAGTACTAGTTTTTCAATGATTGAAATATTTAGCACAAATAAATTACGAAAATGAGTATCTTTTGTTTTTAATATTAATAAACAGCTTGTATAGTTCACTATAACAAATATAAATAATGAACAAATAAAATTGTCTTAACCTTTGTGTTGCCATAATTATTTTATAATAATTATCATATTTTATTGATAGCAACATTAGTGATACTCATTTATAAATGTAAATAATTTAATTTTAAGTTGCCTTTCGGTCTAGACGTCGCTGCTATTTTTTTGTTGTGCGACTTCTTATGTAGTCGGGTAGTTTCTTTAGTCAAAAATATCTCGAGCTAACTTTTAAGTAATATTATGCTGTTTGACGCCAAAAATACGTTTTCCGAAGAAAACTATTGGTTTTTGACAATAATAACAATTAAGATTTAGTTTTTCCATAAGACCATATAATCACGTTTATTAACCGCCCTTCATTTTTCCCACAAGATCTTTTCGTTTACAAGTCGCACGACAAAATAATCGCATCGCGACAGACTTACAAATTATCTGCCTTATAGTGTAGGTCGTATTTCAGAGGGCATTTGTTGGTTATCGTTGTGTAGTTGTATAATAATTATATGTTTGTTCTTCACTGTTGAATGTATTTGTCGCAGACTTTAGTCGCAAGTGTGTGCTGCCCACGTAGGGCTTAGAGGCTGGTCTGGTAACTATCTAGATGATTTAGAATTTTGAACTCTAAGTAATAATGGGGAATGTTGACAACAATCAACAAGCCTTGCCATGTAAATAAATACATCTACGGTTCTACACGTACACACGCGACTTTTAGTCGCACACGCTATCATGCGACAAATCGCTTATGTATCACATATCTTGTTGTTTAGCACAAAACACGTTGTTTTTAACAATACTTTGGATGTTGACATTGAGTGTTTGAGATTTTCGGCTTTAAATGAAAGCCGAATACTAGGTAGGCCGAATATTTTGGAATAAATCAAACCAGTAGCTAAAGGTATAAAAATCAATTAGTTATTGAGAAATATTATACTGCTTCCTTGAGCGGTCCTTATTGTACAGATAATGTTTTTAATATATATGTGATATTTTATTAAAATCAAGCAAGAAAACAATTAATTACTGTATTCAGTTTTTATTTAATTTTTGGCAACTATTATAATATTTGCATGATGTATCTGTGATTTTATTTACATTTTTAAATCACAATATTTCTTCTTCGCCGAATATTCACAATCTCGGCTTTAACCAAACTATTCGGCCTTAACATTAGCGTTGTTCAATGAATAATAATACCTTGCCTTCTTTGTATTATAGTTTTCAAAATATTAGGTACTTAAGTATTAATAAGTGATGCAAAATTCAGTTTTAACTCATTTTAAATTAAAATACTTATTTCTAAATCAAATGTTCGGCTAAAATGGATATTAAGAATATCCTAAAGGACGAATATTCGTCTATTATTTTTATTTAGTTTAAGTTGTGCATTTGGCCGTGAACCTAATTTCGGCACTTTTTGTATCTGAACACGATATTAGTTCAGTCTCAATTGTAAAATTATGATTTGAAATCATATTTTTAGTAATAAATTTAAAATGTTTTTACGGTTTATTGTTCAATTGATTTTTATCTTTATTGCTTTGAAAGTACGACGTATTTTAGTATCTTTGTTGACTCGACCTGAGTGATACCACGGCCTCACAGAAAACCGACTTGAAATAACGCTTGCGTTGTTTACAGTCGTGTGAATGAAGTTTTACCAAAAGCCGAATACGTTCGGCAATGTACTGGTAACTCCTCTGGTGTTCCGGGTGTCCATAGGTGACGCCGATAGCTTACCATCAGGTGATGCAACTGCTCGTTTACCATAAAGATGAATGACTTGAAAAAAATGCGATAATAATAAAATACCTATTTCCTATCAAGAATACTTGCCACGCAATTCTAACCCGTATTCACAAAGCGTACTCACTCAACTCTAGCTCGTATCACAAGGCAATAAGGGTGAAAATAGTTTGTACAAGAAGCAGTAAATATGTACGTTTATGAAAGATGTAATTGTATGTGCGAGTTTGTTCTACCTCTATAGATATATATATATATATTGTGTAGTTAGTATATAACTAAGTCCGACCAAATATGCTTTACTATATACATACTCATAAATATAGAATGTGCGTTTGTATGTCATCTATACTATAAACGATATAAACGAATATTATAAAGCTGAAGACTTTGTTTGTTTGTTTGAACGCGCTAATCTCCGAAACTACTGATTCGAATTGAATGATTCTTTTTGTGTTGGATAGACCATTTATCGAGGAATGTTATAGGCTACATAAAACATCTCGCTACGACCAATAGGAGCCTAGCAGAGCGGGTGAAACCGCGCGCAAGTAGCTAGTATTGTATATAACAAGTTTACATCCGCTGTTTTGCATTATATTAAGCTTCATCCGCGATTCTCGAATCGTCCTGTTTACGGACGAAAATTGTATCGAAATCAGTTTAGTAGTTTTTAGGTGTGAACATAGAGACAGATTCATCAAAGAATTCGTTTACTTTCGGCTGAAATTAATAACTAAGTATTATCGAATCCAAAATCTCTGTATCCACCTCGGTTTATGACTGAAATTTTATAGAAATAATGTCAAAATACGATCTCAATAAAAAAATATAATTTGAGGTTATTAATTTGGACCGTTCGCCCGTACATCAAGCTTAAACTGCATTAAACGTTTCATATAACGAGTAGTGTCATCTATTGTCAATGAAAAGAACTATTGAGTATGAAAGTATTTTTTTTATTTAAACACTTATTACTTCCTCGCGTTTTAGCTCGTTCTGCTCCGCGCCTATTGAACGTAGCGTGATTGTTGTTTTATAGCCTATAGCCTTCTTTGATAAAAGGACTATTCAACACAGAAATAATTATTCAAATCGGACCAGTAGTTCCTGAGATTAGCGCGTTCAAACAAACAAACAAACAGACAGTCAAACTCTTCAGCTTTATATAATGGTATGGTATAAGATAATACATATTATGATATGACATACAAACGGCTATAAATATTCAGTTTATATATTAATTTACATAAATAAATAAATACAATATTATTTATTTCAATTTACACGCCTTTTTATTAGAAAAACATGATATATTTTGTTTATAAACAAAATGAATATTTTTTCAACATTTTCGGACCAAAATCTTTGAATTGATTTCGTTTGTTAAAGATGTGTAAGTTTAAATAAAACAATCAAAATGTGGTACCATCGGCTTAAATCTTAATATTATAGTTACTATAGTGAAATTGTAAATATTACTGTATGTATGTACGTTAGGGGGTCGGCAGAGTTATATGTTATTTTTATAATAACTATCGTGAAGCCAAAGTCTAATTCAAATAAGTCTAAGTCAAATAATTTATTTCAATTAGATCAGAAAGGCACTTATGAACGTCAACAAAAAAAAATAAAAGTGAAGCTATTTGCTCGTTCCAAAGTGTAGATTCCTATGGAGAAGAACGAGCAAGAAACTCCATAGGTGTGAGATACTTACTCAAATCTCTAACATGTAAAAGGCCGGCAACGCATTGGTAACTCCTCTAGTGTTCCGGGTGTCCATGGACGACGCTGATTGCTTACCATCAGGTGACAAAATTGATTAAATTAAAAATGCTATGGGCAAACATTTTCACGACTGATGACCTATAACTCTGCCAGGCACCCTTAATATTAATGTTACTCTTATAGTTAAGTGGTTAGATCTGCAATCTGTGTGAACAAGTTTATATATTTATTTTGTGATATGTATAGGTGAATAGCAGGTCAAGCTATATTACGCACCTTTACGCCATCGACCCTCGCGACAGCATATGCATCCCCACCATATAGATGGTTGGCAGGCCACAACTGTGCACTTCTCCCGGAACTTTCTGCCTCGCACAGCAAAATTGTGAAATGATCTGTCGTCGGCGGTACTTCCGAACCGATACGACCTTCGTTTGAAGGCGAGCTTCAAGAAAGGAGCGTTCTCCTTTTTAAAAGGCCGGCAACGCACCTGTGACTCCTCTGGTATTGCGGGTGTCCATGGGCGGCGCTGGTCGCTTACCATCAGGTGATCCGTCTGCTCGTTTGCCTCCTATTCAATATATATAAAAAAAATAACGGCGGGTGACAATTCACTGCTGCACTATGAGTCTCCTCTACATAGGAGGGGTTTGTCATAATCTCCGCAGGCGGCGGGTTGGAGGTCGCAGTATAAAAGGTTCAGGTTTATCGGAGAGCGCTGCTGCACGGTCTCTGTCTAATGCGTAGTGTCTTAGTCGGGTATAGGTACATCACAAATGTGTTGTATCTTGATAAAATATATATGTTTCAGAAGATACCAGAATCGTGTAACTTTCAACTTTATTACTAAAGTGTTATAGTCAAAAATCCATTTTAAAATTCAATTTAGACTACCTTGTTCTGCTGTTAGTCTCTACATAATATAAAATTCATAATGTATAACTTGTATACTGCG